TTGTTTTGTTTTGTTTTGTTTTGCATTTTGAAATTTTAAAGAATCTGGTAATCCCAGCTGCACTCGGGAGGCTGAGGCAGGAGAATGGCGTGAACCCGGGAGGCGGAACTTGCAGTGAGCCGAGATCACGCCACTGCACTCCAGCCTGGGCGACAGAGTGAGACTCCGTCTCAAAGAAAAAAAAAAGAAGAAAAGAATTTGAGCTCATGTCACTGAGGCCTTGTGATTTCTCTGAGGGAATCTCACTTCCTCACTGTGGACAAACCCTCCAGGTACTTTTGTATTTACTCATTATCTTTTGTCACCAGCCACTGGTTCTTCAAGAAGGAGGATTTTTTTTTTTTTTTTTTTTTTTCTGCCCAGATCCCTAGGTGGCAAAAGCTTTCCTGGCCCATCTCTGGCAATAGGGAGAACTCTGTCGTTTCTTTGAGGTTTGCAGGTCACCTGGGGTTCCAGTTCCAGCTCCCGGCCCTCATCCAGGTCTCTGGACACCCATCACTCCCAAGCCTCAATTCTGAGAGGGTATTTCGGTGCCTGATACACCACTCTCCCCGCTTCCCATTCATTGAAGCCTCTCACTTTCTTTTTCTTTTCAGCACATGAGGTTTTTAGCTCTTCTGTGACCTCAGATAGGTATTAACTTTGCGAAACTGACTTTTTTCCAGAATTTCGACGTCTCTGAGGAAAGAGGGTTATTTTAGCTGAGTCTACTATGTTGCTGTCATCTTTTCAAAGTCAACATTTCCCAGTGTTTGCTCCTGTTTCTTGTAATTCCCACATCAGGACAGTTGGTCTGATTTCCCAGGCCGATGCTGCATATTTTGACGTTTCCTATAAGTTTTTTACTGGCTCTTTTTTTGTGCTTTCTCAGATTTGAGTATAAACATGGATTTGTGCTAGAAACCATGAAGGTTCCTGTTCATATTTCCAGGCCATATGAAAGAAGGAGGGAAATGTTTAGACTCACTGGTTTCACTTTATGGGGTGGCCTCATCGGGGAGGGGCTCCTGTGCACACGAGGACAGCTTGCTGGGCAGTGACGGCCTCCAGCTCATCCTCAGCCGTGGCATCTGTGAAGCCTGTAAGGTTTACTGCCCCTCACCCACTCTCAGGAAAGCTGTGGTGGCCTTATTGTTGGGGTCTCTCAGCCCCACCTTCCCTAGACTCTACCCCCTTCTTTGATGGCTGTGACACATGCTGTGCCACCAGCCTTCAGTGTCCATTGGAGAGATGAACGCCCAGTTATGGTCCTTCAGTGATTTCAGTAGTGCGTAGGGCAGGAGGAAGGTGGACTGAGACGTGGGAGTTAGTTTTCTGTCCCAAACTCAAGGGAGCACTGCGATTATAAATGGTGTTTCTCGATGGAGGGCCTTGTCCCCAGATAAAGAATACTTAGGGTCACCTGCACAGCAGTGTGTGCACTCACGGGTGTGTCTGTCTCTGTGTGCGTGCATGTGTGTGTACTGTGGATGTATGTAATGTGTGCATGTGTGTATGGACATGTGTGCATGTCTACATGTGTGCACGTGCACAGAAGTGTGCACATGTGCATATGTGTGTATGGGCATGTGTGCATGAGTGCAGGTGTGTGTGCATGTGTATGGATGTGTGCTTGTGTGTGCATGCACAGGGCATTGTATGTGTCCATACGTATGTATGTGTGCATGTGTGTGTACATGGGTGTGTGCACATGTGCATTTGTGTACACATGTGTAAGAGTGTGCACATGTGCATGTGTGTGTGCACGTGTGATGGGTGTATGTGTAGAGCAGACACCCGTGCTGGCCTGCCGGGGTGCCTGCAGATGGTGTGGGATGCTGAGGCCACCCACCGCGGCTGGGCTGGGCTGCTCAAGGGAGGCTGCCTGAGGGGCTGCTCTCTGCTCATCAGTGTGGGTGGGTCCGCTTCTGGAATTTCTGTGAGGAACGGAGAGGGACTGAAAGCCAGTCCTGGCTGGAAGGGGTCCCTCCCTGAGCAACCTCTTGGGGTAGCACTGGGGTGGGCAGAACTTGGGAGCTCCCTGGTGGTCTGAGGTGTGCCTGGGCAGGCAGGGCTGAGGCTGGCCAGGTGCCCCTTCCCACCCACTCCTGGCCTGGTGTCGGTTCTGCAGAGAGTGCACATCGCACCTGTGTCCTCCTTTCCCTGACAGGAAAGATGTATTTGCCTCGGTTCAAAAAGGGCTTGTGGAAGTTTTGAAGCAGCTGGGCAAAGTGGTGCCTGGAAGCCTGAGATCCTGCCGGCCGGACCAAACACGTCATCACAACCACAGCCACTGATGAGCGTCTGGCTGCTCACCTGTCCCCTAGGGGTCCCACTGAGCCCCTAGGCTGCATCCCCTGGCCCACCAGGGAGAGGACTCCACCCCACCCTGATTTCCTGGAGGAGGAACTGGGCCTCTGGGCCTTGTGAAGGGGCAAGTGAGGATCGTGGCTACCAGGGACCTGGCGGCTGCAGATGCTTTGGGGGAAGTGCGTGTGCAGCCCTTGGTCCTGCCCGGAGCTGTGACCTGCTGAGCAGTGGACTTCAGCAGGGCTGGGTGAAGCTGTGGCTCCCTCCTGGGGTGCCCACCCACCCCTCTGTGCTCTCCCACTCACAAGGGGCCTGGAGGTCCCAGTTGCCAGGGGGCCTGCAGTATTCCTGGGTCCCAGATGATGGAAGCGCAATGTTAAAAATGTTCACCAGACCAACCTGTGCTGGCTGCAATTCTCAATAAAGCAGCTGAGGGACATACCCAGGAGTGGACGCTTCTGCCAGTGCCGCCGTGCCACTTCCCAGCCTCTGGCCATGACCCCACAGGAACAGGAGTGGGGCTACAGGGAGCCCCTAGGGTTACACAGGACCCTCCACCTTGGGAGAAAGGTGGCTGGGGACAAACTGGACCACAAGGGCATCCTTAGTTCCTTCTCTCTGGCCCCTTGGGCATCTCTGAGGCCACCTGGCAGAAACCAGACCTTCCGGGGTAGAGGATCTCTGTGCTGTGTGTGCCCAGAGCGGGGCCAAGAGGCAGGAAGAGGTAGATGGGAGGTGGGGCCTGCTGGAGGCCATCTGGGTCTCCGTGCCCTGGCCTCTTCCTTCTCCCCTGCACCAAGGAGAGGGGCAGACAGACCTGTCTGCCCAGGGCGAGGTGGAGTGCAGCTGGCAGGGGCTGCACGCTCACCCTGAACACGGAAGTGTGGTCCATGCCCAAGCCCCAGACGGACACACGTACACACATTCTCTCTCTCTCTCTTCCCCCACCCCGCCATGAGGCCTCACCCTGCTGTAGGTCTCCAGCCTTTTATTCATACAAGGACTCAAAAGAACACGTCACCCGCTGACACTGAGTGGTGGGGGGACGTTGTGGAGGAAGGACACAGCAGGCTTGGCCACTGCCCTGACCAGTGACCACTCAGGGCTGCCCCTTCCAGAGATGAGCATAGGGTGGGGTCTGAGCGCCACCCCCGGGCCATCCGTGTGCAGCAGGAGTGCTGCTGTCCTGGCACCTCGCATCACTGTGCCAGAGTCCCCAGCCCACCCTGGTAATGGCAGGGTTGTTATGGGGTGGACATGCCTGTGCTGGGGTGCTCCTGAACCCAAAACGTCTAAAGTCAGGTTCCAGAGAACAGAAGCCATGGGGACCTGACCAGCAACCAGGGCGCTCTGTCCACTGTGCGGAACGGCGATGAAAAGCAAAGCAGCACTAAGCAGCCTCCTCAGGGTCAGGTGGTTCAGGACAGCTGCCCCCAGACCCTCCAAGTCCTCCCCTTGCAGGACCCCTTCCCAACATGATACCACCCCTCCCCAGGGCCGCCTGGCAGCTGGGGTACAGGAGAAAAGGAGGGCCCGTCCAGGCCTGGGGCAGGGTCCTGATGGCCTCAGTGAGTGACAGGAGGTCACCAGGGTCCAAGGTGGGCCCTGCGTCTCTCCAAAGCTATCTGGAAGGAGCAAACAGCTCTCCGTGAACAAGGACAGTAAGTGTCAGTAAATGGATGCACGTTTGGAAAAGCCCTTAACTATCCAGGTCCCCATCCCCTGCAGCTGGCTGGGTCGGGAAGGGACCTAGGCGTTCCCGTCTGCGGTGCTGGGTCTCACCAGCCACCAGCACCCCTGTGTGACAGCCAAGGGTCACTCTGAGCCCTGGCCTGTGTCACCCTGAACAGGGAAGCCCTGGTTCCTGATCTGGGTGAGGATGGGAGCAAGCAGGTCCCGGCTGCTCCTCAGCCTTCGCGGTCTTCACGTAGCCCTGGACCCCAGCAAGGCCTGCCCTGTAAGCCCCATGTGCAAGGGGGCAGCCCACATCAGCAGAGCCCCCGCTGCCTCCCTGGGCCTCGGGCCCAGCTCCGCCTCCTCCAGCAGAAGCGCAGGTGGGTCAGTGGCCCGTCATCCGCGCGTGGAGGCTCCTCACCGCAGGTCTGTGGGAGGACAGAGTCCTCAGACTCCTCAGCACTGGTGCTTTCTCAGGCCCCACCCGGACTCCTCAGCACTGGTGCTTTCTCAGGCCCCACCCTGCAGACGCTGGGGCCCCTCAACGGCACAGGGAGGTGGGCCCGGGCTCTGCAGCCTGCGCTGAGGGGAGGGTATCATGCATCATCTCAGAGGCTCCGCTAGACCCTGGAGGGTGGACACCCAGAAAGCCCTTGGGCTTCTCTGGGGGCTGAGGAGTGGGCCAGGGCTGGCTGGTGGGCTCTGCTGGGAGTCCCAGCGGAAGGAGGCGGGGAGGAAGGCACAGGCTCGCTGCGGGCTCCAGCGGGTTGCTTTGAGGCCTCCTCTGCAGGCCTCAAGGGGCTGCTTCTGCAGCGGTGCAGGGAGCTGGGGGAGGGCTGGGCAGCCGGAGGTGCCCCTGAGGTCCCTGAAATACATGGCTTGTGGGGACACTGGCTCCCAGCTGACCTGAGGACCTCATACAAAATTAAAAGGCAGAGAGGCAGGCAAGGCCAGGCCTGGAGCCAGGGCCTCTGCACCTGCCCCCGCTCAGAGCTGCTGGCCCTCCCTGTCCCACCCCAGGCCTCTCCAGGCTGAGGTGAATTAAATATCGTCTGTTTTGTATTTTTGGCAAAGTCAGTCCTTGGCCTCTGTCCCTGGGGCCTTGGGGCAGTTACCGCCACCGGGGCCCGGCTACTGTAAGGGCCAGGGAGAGGAGGAAGGGCAGGAGGAAGGTGGGGGGCTGGGGGCAGCTGGCAGCTGAGGTCTTCTGCCCTTCCTGCTCCGACAGGCCTGGGAGGGCATGGGTCAAGGGCGTCCGGGAGCTGGAGCTCTTCCTGCTGGCCCCCCGGCCACAGCGATCATCCGGACAGCCATCACCGCTGCCCGAGCCGCTGCCGTCGTCACCTGGGAAGGAGAGAAGGCTCCGGCAGGCTGGTCCCCACAGGAGACCCCAGGGCAGCATCACCCTGTGAGGACCCCACATGCCAGGTGACCCCGACATCCTTTCGGTGTGGAATCCCAGGACCAGCAGCACCCGATCCCCGCTGACCCTGAGGCTGGGAGACTCACTCCCTGGGGCTGCCTCCCTTGGTCCCTGGAGCCAAAGCTGATAGACATCCTGGCCAGGCCTCTAGGGGCCGCAGAGGTACAGTGCTCGGTGACCGTGCCTGGGCAGCACAGTGTCCTGAGTCACTGTGGTGATGCTGGAGCAGAGGGCCCCTCGGGTGGGGGAACCTGGAGGGCAGTCACAGCCCTGCGGCACCCCCGCCATCCCTGGACCCTGGCCCGCCCGGTCAGGCCCTGCTCTCACTGGCGTCCTGGAAGTCCACGTCATTGCCGTTGTAGGCGCTGCGCAGCCGGTTGGTCATGATCTTCAGCTGCATGATCTGCTGCCGGATGGTCATGTCCGGCTTGGTGATGTCCACCTCCACCTCGGGGTTGTTGATCTGGTTGGCCAAGCCGTCACCCATGACCTCGGGGAGGTACCTGGAGGAAAGGCAGGCAGAGCCCAGGTCACTGCTCCAGCCCCTGCAAAGGGCCATCACCTGAGCAGGACACCCTCCCGCCCTCCGAGCCTGAGACCCTGGGCCTGAGATGCCCAGCAGGCCTCCAGGGACCGAGCAGAGCCCATGCAGGCCACAGAGAAGTGGGGCTCGAGCCCTCCAGCAAGGGATGTGGCCCTGTGCATACAGCACCCGGCCCAGGCACAGCCCAATGGAGACGGCATGGGAGGGAGGGCTGTGCCAGCCAGGCGGGCACCTACCGGCCTCTGGCCATCCCGTTCCAGCAGCGGTCATCACTGGCGGTGCTCAGGGCCATCTTCTCGCTGCACAGTGTCCCTGGGAGGCTGATCCAGAAGTCCTGGACGTCACGGAGCTGGGCCTTGGCTTCGGAGACCTGCCGGGCAGCAGTCAGGCCACTGGGTTGCCAGAGCCCGCCCGCCCCCGCCTGTCTGCCTCCCTCATGCCTGGTCCGGGGGAACCGGCAGGGGCCACTCACCAGCTTCTCCAGGGCGCCTGAGGGTGGCCTCTCCCGTGGGGCCAGCTTGCCCCGGCGCCGCTTCTCCTCAGGCCCAGAACCCTGGGGGTTGACCTTGGGGTTCCCGCAGCCCTGGATGACCTGGGGAGACACCACAGGGTCCTTGGGGGGCAGCGGGGTCCCTCAAGCCCAACGGAGCCACATCCAGGACCCCCACCCCACTGTGCTCGTCATGTCCTCCCGCCCGCACCTTGGCCGTGAGCGTGTCCCTGTTGTCCTGGAGGGCGTTGATGGCCTCTGCCAGCCACGTGTGCACGCTGCCGATGACGCTCTCCACACCCGACGTGCCCCAGAACTTGTCGGTGATGAGCACCATGGAGTCTAGCACAGGCGTTAACACACGCGCACACAGGCGTCACCACGTGTGCATGTTAATGCAGTCTTGACAGCACAGGTCGGCGTGGGAGATCCCGCGCACGCACTCGGGTTGGCCCATGTGATGTGTGCAGGCCACGTGCACTCAGCCGCACTCAGCCTGGCCCACGCCCACATGTGCACATGCGCCACGGGGCACAGGTGGACACGCACACACGGAGGCCATTCTGCATGCTCGCTGGCCTGCCGTTTCTCATGTATGTCCACGCTGGCTCATGCAGGTGTTGACATGTACATATGCTGACTCACCTCGGTCCAGCTTGTGTGCACATGAGCCCATGTGAGCTGGTGTGTATGCATGCTGGCTCACCTCATGCCCCCCCATGTACACCTTAGTTCATGTGTGTGTTGCATGCATGGTGAGCTCATGTACAAGTAAAGCTTATGCATTTTGTCAGCTCCCATCACATTAGCACACACGTGTTGGCTCCATGTCAGCACATGGTAGCACGTGTGTTGGCACAGATGCATGCTGTCCCACCTCATGTAAGCATGTGTACACGTTAGTGGATCTAGATAAGCATGTACATATTAGCACACACGTGTTGGCATGGATGCAGGTCAGCCCAGCTCATGTCATCACACGCACACAGGAGCACACACCATACTGGTGGGCACCGGCCCGCTGTGTGTCAACAAGTGTGCACGCCAGCTTGCATGTGTTAGCCTGTCATGTGACAGTGCATATATGTGTTAGCTTAAGCAAGTGCTGGCCCTCTATGAGTCACATGTGTTGGCATGTATGCACACTGAGGTGCTTGCTTGCTCAGTGGGGAAGCACAAGAAACTACGACCTCACAGGGCTCCCTCCCTGGCAAGCTGCCCCAAGTCACACACCCTGGTCAGGGCATTCCTGATCAGGTCCCTGGGTCCAAGCCCTGAGCTAGGGACCACCCGCCCCCCCCAGGACCCCCGCCACACACTCCCCAAGACAGTTCCAGGCCGCTCTGGCAGGTGGGGGCTCACCCAGGAGGTTCCTCCACTCGGCATCCAGGTCGGCCTGGTTGGCGAGGCAGCCCTTGAGCACATTTCGGCAATAGTCAGGGCAGGGCCTGGCGCCGGGGACTCCCAGACAGTGAGCACAGTAGACCAGCTTCATGACAGCCCTCGAGCACTCCGGGCCCAGGGGGACCTGGGGAGCAAGGCAGCCTGAGCCAGACCCCAAGGCCCTGGGCGTGCCCAGCCCCAGCCAGCCTCTAATGGAGCCCCAGGGTGGGGGGCTCTGGAGGGAAGTCAGGGGAGGCCTGTGCTCTGCCCCAACTCGCAGTGGCCCTTGCCTGACTCACAGGCCTGCCAGCCCTGCCAGCCCTCATTCTAATGCTCTCAAGGGTCATGGGGAGGCACGAATATCCTCACCCACATGCTGCTGAGGATACCAAGGCGCCCCAGCCTACCTGGGTCTGACATGTGCCCCCCAATGGACCAAGGCATCCCCCTGGCCTGGGAGGCTCCGGAGCCCCACCCTGCCCGGCCCCCAAGCATGTTGTTCTGTCTCCTGTGCATCTTCACTCCACAGCCTGGCTCAGCATCCAGCCCAGCCCCTGGCCCTTCCCATGCTGGCCCATGATGGGTCTGGGGAGGGGTGAGCCAGCCCAGAGCCACCTGCCCAGAGCAGGGCTCACATCTGTGGGTGCACCGTTAGCAGGCCGTGGGTAGCAGCCAATGCAGGAAGGACTGAGGCTGCGGGGCAGAGGTCAGAGGCTGGCTAGGAGGTTCAGGGACATAGGGTTAAGTAGGCGGAAGAGGAAGTCCCTTGGGCAGAGCGTGGGCGTCTGGAGGGCCTTCTGAGAGCCCTGGGTGGCTGTGCGCACCTGAGCCACCTTCCGGACCACGTCACTGGCCACGCCCAGGCCTTGCACGAAGGAGCGAGCAGCCACAAAGGCGCGGGTGGCCCGCAGGCGCAGCTCTCTTGGGGCCTCCCCAAAGGGCCGCAGCGCCTCGGCCTGCTTGCCCAGGCAGTCCAGGTAGTCATCAGGCAGCAGCAGCTGGGGGTGCAGCTGCTTGAAGAGGCGCTCGAGCAGGCGGGCCCAGAACTCGGCCAGTGTCTCCTCCAGGTGCAGGTTGGCACCGCGGTAGTACAGGCGCAGCTCTGCGTACAGGTCCCGGAAGGCCTTGGTGTTCTGCGCGTACAGCTCTCCGAAGGCGCCCGGGAAGGTGCCCTGCAGTGTCCGCTCTGAGTCGTTCAGCAGGTGCTGGAAGTGGTCTGCGCACAGGGAGGGGGCGTGATCGGGACAATGTTTCCCCCGTGACAGCTGGACTAGAGCAGGAGACTCAGCTCGGGAGACCCACGGCTCTGAGGATACACTCTGAGGTCCTCGGAGTCGGACGCCACACTGCAGCGGCTGTGGGCCCTGTGAGCATCCACGGGGCTCCCCGAGACCTCACCCCCTGGCCTGGGGAGCAGACACCCAGGTGGCAGGGGTCCTCTCTCGGATCTCAGGACCTCTGACTGGGGCTCCAGTGGCTGTTTCTGAGCTGAGCCCAGGGTAGGAACAGATGCTCTGTGACTGAGAACACCCAGGGAGGGGCTGCTGGTGGAGATGAGGCCTCACTGGGGTAAGAGGGCCGGACCGGTCTGTGCTCCCCTGCCAGCTGCTGCTTCTCTCTACCGGTCCCCATTTGTGCTCCCTGTGGCCCCAGCCGCCTGCCCTGTGAATCTCCAGGGCCTCTGCCCTTCCCGCCACCCTGTCTCTGCTGCTCTCGTGGGCGTCCTGTCTTTTCTCAGCCTCAGCTGTGAGCACCCCAGGCCTGAGGGCTCTGGGGAGCCTCCTACAGCCCAGAACCCCAGATGTTTTCCCTGCTGGGTGGGGGACAGGGAGGCCCAGGCTCACCCTCAGACCTCCACATGTGCTGCAGGAGCTCTGGGGAAAAGCCCCGTACCCCGTGCCTAGATGGGACCCTGGACTTCCCCATCCCATTTGGAAGTGAGACTTCCGGGTCTGTAACTGCTCAGAGCATCCCTAGGGCCGTGGCCGGTCTTGCCCACAGGTACCACGGGCTCGATGGCCCACCACGGGGTGCTCCAGGGACGCAGGGCAGAGGCTCTCCTCTGAAGCAGGGTGGCTGTCAGGCCTAGAGATCTCTGGACCAGCCCCCACGCTGACCCCTGGCAAGGCCTGGGACTACAGGGCTGGCATGGCTACAGAGAGCTCCCAGGCCGCTGTGGGGAGGGTAGACGGGCCACGCAGCTGTCCAGTGTCCGCCTCAGGTCCTGGCACCTGGAACGCCCTGGCCTCTCCCAGAAGGGGGCAGCTTGCAGTTCATGCATTAGCCCAGACACACCTAGAGGGCCATGGGCCCTACCTCCTGCCAGGCCCCATTCAGTTGCCCCTGAAGGCTGGTGAGGGCTCCCAGTCCCTGAACACAGCAACCAGAGGCCCAGTCAGGCTCCCCTCCTACCGCCTCCCACTGGCTCCCACCAGCACTGCAGACAAAGACGGAGGGGCCCTTGGCTGCCCTGGAGGCTGGGAGGGGCCAGCAGCTGCTGTGGGTGGGGGTGGGAGGGGAGGACATGGGAGGTGGGGGTTGGACAAGACTCCCTGGGGTACGGGCACAGGTGGGCCTTGGGTACACAGTGGGTCATTTTCAACACAAATGTCCTCAAAGGGTGTCTGTGTTTTCATGTCAAAGATAGGAGAGTCGAACAGGAAGGCTGGAGGCTTCCAGAGGGCAGCAGATGGAGGGCGGCGGCAGGGCACTGACACAGGATGGGCCCCAGAGCAGGGCAGCGACACCGACCCCCTTAGAGCCAGGAGGAGGCAGGTGGGCAGGACGTCCCCAGGCCAGGAAGATGGTGTGATGGGCAACGGCCTTAGCAGGAGAGAGGAAGGGGCAGGGCTGGGTGGCACGCTGGGGTGGGAGCCAGGGCTCAGCGACACTGGGGAGAAACTGAGGCCCAGGACAGAGTAGAGGAGGTGAGCAGGGTCCCTACACAAGGGACAGACCCAAGCAGCTCAGGAAGGCTCCTGACTTGGGGTGCAGGGGTGCGTTCCCTAGGGCCAGCTGGGCAGGAGGAAGGAGAGTCCCAGAGGGGCCAGGAGCGTCCCACGGGCCCCACACCAGGGGAGGGCTGAGCTCTGAGCGTCGATGTCCAAGTCACAGAGAAGGAGCTTCTGATCCACCATGACCCAGGTATACGCCAATAGCTGAGGTCCCGCAGCCCTGTGGAAATGGCCTTGGGGGCTCCTGGGGACAGACAGACTCTCCCGGGAGCCTGGGAGGCCACAAGCAGGTGTCCAGGAGCCGGAGAAGCAGGAATGCTGAGACAAACCCCAGGGCGCCAGCAGCAGCTGCTGTCCCTCACGGCGACATGGAGCTGCGCGGCCTCAGCGCTCCCTCCCTCTCGTTTGCTCAGGCTCACTGTCCTGGCGCCCCAGGTCCGCTGGGACACAGGGGCAGTACCTCAGCCCAGGCCGCCTCCCTCCACCAAGTCCTCATGTTTCTGAACAGAGGTCACTTTATGGGGGTCCTCCTGACCCCACACTGTTCCCCTGGAGGTGCCTGCTGCTCTCCGCCTAGACACAAGGTGAGGCTCAGACTGGGCTGAGGAGTATGTGGCTCTGACACAGTAGCTGGCAAGGCCTCAAGGCCTGCAGGGGTCACTCCCCAGGGCCCCAAACTCCTGCCCCGATACAAAGGGCTGAGTGGCAGCCACCCCTGGGCAGGCCCTGCACTCTGCAGCCCTGTCCCCAGCCCCAGTCTCAGCCCTTGCACTGAGCTCCCTGGCTCCAGGCCACCGGGTCCCCAGGGGTGGCGGCCTGGGGCACGTGCGGAGTTGCAGGGAGGATCTGGCCGAGACCTGTCACTCTGCAGGTGCTCGGGAGAATCTGCTGGTGACAGGAGCCTCTGCGGGGCTGATGGGACAGGCCCTCTGTCCCCAAATGTGCACTGGGAATGGGCTGTGCACACCCCCAGGTGGGTGTCAAACCCTGCAGATCCCTGCCTGAGGGTAGCCGCCAAATCCCAGCTGGGGCTTCAACCCAGCACCCTAGCCCCAAAGTACTAACTCCCCCACCTCCTCCTGCCAATGCCCCACCCTCTGCATTGAAACACCAGGCAAGGCCCAGTGTGCCACCCCCCTCGCCCCATGCACCAGCACCCTGCGGCCCCCGAGCACCCCTGGGAGGCACTCACCATCGAAGCTGCGCAGCTGGGTGGCGAGCATGGCCTGCAGGACGCGGCTGCTGTCCCGGAGCGCGGTCTCCAGCTCGGCACGGCTGCGGTTGGCCAGGTTCTCCTCCATCTCACTGGTGCAGCAGGTGTAGCCTTGGGGGCAGATCCGCAGATGCTCACCTGTGGGGAAAGGCCAGTATGAGGGAGAGGGGCTGGGACAGCACTGGCAGCCAGGAGGGCACCCTCAGGCTCTCCTGGGCAGAAGGATTGCAGACCCAGGGTGGAGCACAGCTCAGAGGTGGGCCAGCCTGGGGGGTGCCCTGGGTGAAGGCAGAAATGGTGGGGGCGTGGAGGGAGGAAAAGGCCTGGCTCGAGTCCTATAGCTTCCCACACAGGACACAAGAGCAGGGCTTCCTCAACAAGGGAGGGGGCCCCTTGGGCAAGTCCTGCCCCCCAGCCTGCTGTCCCAGCAGCCACAAGCAAAGAACTGGCCTCAGGTTCCCGTGTGCAAGTCGGGAGGAGGCTACCAGGCCCGACAGTCACCCCATACCTGAGCCCATGGCTGAGGATGGGGAGGGAGGAAGGAATCCAATTCCCCTCTCTTCCCACACCAGCCCTGGGAGGCACCAAACTCCCACTGCAAGGACAGCAGATCCCACCAACAGTGGGCTGGCCAGAGGCAGTGGCCCTGCAGGACCCCATACACAAGTCTGGTGTGGGGACAGGTATGCCCTGGTGCAGGTGGCAGATCCCATGAAGGGGTCATCGGACCATGCCCCAAGCCCTGCAGGGCACACCCTGTGCCTCCTGGTGTCCTTGTGGAGTCCTCTCCTCTGCAGCCTGCCCTGAGCTGCTCTGCTCCAGTGTCCTGGGCAGTGACAGTGGCAGTGCCATCAGAGACAGCCTCACCTCCTTGTGGGGAGTGGGGACGGGCTGTGAGTCAGCCCTCAGCCCTGCTGCACACACCTCGGTGCCCACCTGGAATATGTGTGTGGCATCAGAAAAACTGCATATTTAAAAGGGTGCGCATCGCACTGTGATGAAGGCTGCCGAAATCCCCATTTTATTAACCAGGAAACCGGGGCTTACAGAGATGAAGTCTCTTGTCCCAGCTATACAGTGAAGGAGCAAGTGCCTCTGGCTGCCTGAGCTCAGGACTCCACTGTTCCTTCTGGGCCTCGTACCCTGCCTCTAAGGCCCTTCTGGTGCTGGCCTATGTCAGGCACAGTGGAGAGGTGGAGGCAGGAGCCTGGCTTGGTCAGAGGGGAGGGGTCGGGGGGGTTGTCAGCAGGAATTCCAGAAACTCTCCTCAGGTCTGCCGCCTCAGGGGTCAGGGCTGAGGCCTTAGAGCCTGTTTCATCCCATCCTGGGACCCAGGGCCAGGGTGGCTGGAATGTGGCAGGTCCTGCGTTCTTTTACCTCCCGCCTGGGGGTCAGCGGGAAGTGAAGGCCAGGCCAGGGAGGAGAGGCAGGAGAGGGAGCTGGGACCGAGGGCAGGGTCAGCCTGGGCAGAGGCACCTGGCCCAAGGCTGTCCTGGGGGAGCTGGCAGCACAGCAGGAAGGGGTGCAGCCCTGCCTGGAGGTGGGAGCAGGGACCTACAGCCCCACTGCTGGCAGGGCCTGGAGCAGCCCAGGCAGTGCCCTACCCACTTACTGCAAGAGGAGTCACCCCTCAGGCCTGGGGTCCAGGGAACCCTTCCCCACTAAAGGCCATCTGGGTTGGGGACCCAGGGTTAAGTAACTACCCGGAGGTCGAATGCCTGGGTCAGACTGAGTCTGCCAATCTTCCGCACCCTCTAAGTACACACACCCAGGGACGAGGCTGAGACAAGAGGAGGGAACAGAGAACCCGAACCTGGGCTTGGGTGGCTGCCGCTTGGCCCCTGTAGCCTCTGTGCCTGCTAATGTGACAGCAAGGAGACGGGCTGTCAGAGGGGCCTGGGAGAGCCAGAGAGGACAGAGGCACAAGGATGGGCCCTCCCCAAACACAGCCCCGGCTTTCTGAGGTCAAGTTCTTATCCTGGAGCGCTCCCTCCTCGCCCTCTTTTCGTGCCTGAGCTCTGGAATGTACTGATGCAGGGGGCTCTGGCTTGAGCTGGGGCTGGAGCGGGAGGGAGCCCTCAGCAGGGGCTGCAGGTCCAGGGAGCCCCTAGAGCCTGGACTTACATTCCTATGCGGCAGACAGAGCGGGAATGGCAAGTGCCCCTGTGTCCCCCGCCCCTCCTTACCCCCAGATGTCTGCTGGAGGGGGAGGTGGGGGTCTAAGAGAGTCTCGGGCCAGGAGGGCTTTGTGGGAGCCAGCTAGGGTGAGGGCAGAGCCTGGCTCTGAGAGTCCTGGGGCCTAGTAGAGAAGGGGTACCCCTTCCCCACTCCTCACATGGGTGGGAAGGTGCCCTCAGGCAGGAAGACTGGGACACAGGTACACTCGCCAGGGACCATCCTTCACTCTGTAGCCTTTATTTACTGATGGGATTCCGCCCCAGTCCCGTCCCCATGGGGACAGGATTTAGAGCAGGAACTGCCCCCCTGGGTCCTTTCCTGGGGCCTGCGCCAGGCTGAGCAGACTCAGGAGGCATCTCTCTGAGGGTGTGGGCTGTGATGGGGGCCTGTGCACCCTTCCAGGCTGCCCGGACCAGGAGAGCACAGGTCAGCCGGACACATGATGGTGCTGGGCTGGGCAGTGGGAGGGAAACGTGCCTGGGGGAGGGGGTGGCAGGTGCCAGCATAGCTTCCCGGTGACACCCTGGGCTCAGCTGTGACGGGCTCAGCTGTGACGGGGCACCCAGGCCAGGCTGGCTGGGCCACAGGCAACGAATGGGCTGGTCCAAGACTTGGGACTAGGGCTCAAGCACTCCTAGGGAGTTGGGGTGGGTGACATCCCTCGCTGGCTCCTGTGCCCCTCCCTCGCGAGGTCCCTGGTAGACCCACTCTCCAGCCCCCACCACACAGATAAGGGAGGCTGATGAGACATGGAGAGGTGAGGCCCAAAACACCCATAAGACATGGCAGGCTCCTCCTACCTGCAGGTTCTCAGGGGTTCCTTGGCACTGCCAGCCACCCCCTACACCCCCCTCACAGCTGTGCACCAGCCCCCCGCCTCAGCCTCCCCTGCTGCCCCCCTAGCCCTGCCCGGCCACCTCGCCCAGCCAGCCCGGTGACCTGCGCTGTTCCGGCTGCCCCAGCACAGCCCCCGTCCCTCCCTCCCTCCTCGGACAAACACGGGAGTGAAGACACGGAGCCAGAGCTTGGGCGCCGGCCTGGGAGCCCCGGGCAGGCTGGACCGAGGCGGCCCCCTGAGGCCCGCTGCAGGTCGGACGCATGGCAGTCAGAGGCAGGAGGCCTCCCGCTGGCTTCCTTCTGCTGAGCTCCAGCCCAGTGCAGGCCGGGGCCCGAAGGTCTCGGTCCTAGACATGAGATGGCAGAGGCGGGCTCTGCAAAGTCCCCCTGCAGGCCAGCAAAGCAACCCCCCTCCTGGAAGAATGCCAGGGGCTGGGGTCTTTCTGGATGGTGAGCGATGTGCCCAAGTCCAGTTGTCATCTTAAATCTCTCCACCCCCAGGTGCCTCCCCACCACTTCTCTCAGCTCAACACCTGGGGGATACAGAGGCCTCAGGCCAGGAGGGAACCCTCCCCATGTCCCTCTCCCTCTCCTTCCTGGACCTTCCTTCTGATACCTCCTTCTTGGCCTTTCCCCCCTCCAACTCAGAGGAAGGCATTTTCCAACCTAGGGGGTGAGTTCCGGCAGCCCCTCCCCTTCCCCTCAACGCAGAAAGGTATCTGGGCCCTTCCGGCCCAGCCCTCTCTCCGGCCCTGGGGCTGCTCGGGTCAAGGTCGCCAGGCCTGCTCCCCGCTGGGCCAGGGACTGGGCCCTCTCTTCCCTGATCCCTGGGCTGAAGTTGCTGTAGCTGACCCATCCTTACACAGCACTCCCCTCCCTCAGTCACTGGGACACTTCCCTCCCCAAGTGCTCTGAGGATTTTTTTTGGGAGGAAGGGGATTATTTGTTTCATGGCAGATTCATCCCCCACCTCAAACCCAAAGCCTCCAATTCCCACGCTCCTGCTCCTCAGGTTAAAGCACAGAGATCTTGCTCCCTGGTCCTTAGGCAGTTGCTGTCTGGTTCCATCTTCCCCCTCCAGACCCTGACGGCTCCGGACCACCCCACTCTGCTGCTCCTTGCTAAGCCCCCACCAGCCTTAGCTTTAGACACGTTTTAGGTCACGCATTCCTGTCCCCTGCTGACATGTCCCCACCTAGCAGTCTCCCCTTGGTCATCAGCACCATCACCCCAAAGCTTCAGGTGAGACTCTCATCTGGACAGTGGCCACCATCCCTGATGACGGACCCAGACCTCATTTGTCCAGACCCAGCCCGGCAGCTGCCCGCGACCAGTGGCTCTGGAGCCCTCCCAAGGAGAACGCAGAGAGATGATGGCGCCACGCCACGCCCATCCCTCCAGAAGCTTCCACGACACACACAGGAGGTGCAGGCTGTAAAGCCGGCTTTATCCGCCTTTACAGCCTTGTCCTAGACACTCAGTGTCAACAGACTCGAATGCCTACCGTACTGGAATTTAGTGTGGATAGTCAGCCTGCATTGCCTGCCATGGTGCTGGAGCAGGGCTGTGTGCCGAGCTCCAGGCACCGCAGCCTCCCAACACACCAGGGAAGAGCCTAGGCCTCCTGGCTCCTGACCTCTACTCAGCTCTGCACCCTGCAAGGTGGCCTTCCTGGCTGGCCGATCGCTGGGAAGGCTTTCCCCAAGCCCGAACCCTCTTCTCGAAGCCTGTCCCAGCTCCTGCCCCATCTGCTCTAGGACCCCATCCAGCTCCGGTGGCTGTGGCATCCTCCTGGTATGTCCAGCAACCTCCTGTGGTGAGGGTGCACTGGGCAAATGTCCCAGGAGGTTTCCTGGGGACCACCCACCACCCAGGCTGCAGGGGATCTTTTCCTCACTTTTGCCCCATCCCCTAGGAAGCCTGCGCCCCTGGCCAGTCCCTGTTCACCTGGGCTCCTGACATCTGAGCCGGAGGCAGCCTTGGCCCCACCTGCGAGGTGGACCAGCCACAGCATCTCAGCTCCCTGTCAACAGCATCGACGGCCCCCAGCCTCACCCCATCGTGCTTCCCACCCCTCCCCACACCCCTGCCGCCTGCCCGAAGCCCCTGCCACCATTTCACCCAAATGACAGCGTCGCCAAGGAGCCCCTCCGCAGCCGCAGAACCTCCGCCACGCACTGCGACCCGAACCGAGGGGCGTCGCAGGGACACCTCTGCCCC